GGTGGTGGGGGGGGGTGGGGGGAATAGGGGGAGGTATGAGAGCTAGGACTTATTCTAGAAAGGAAGTAGAGAAGGTTGTTTTCCCTGATAAAGGAATGAGAGGTAAAGCTCCTAGTTTGCGGAAATGGTGGAGAAAATGTGACTTGTACTTTGGTAAGGGGATAAGGAAGGAATTAAGGCTATTACTCTGAAGAAAGTATGGGGACAGGGGATGCCTGGCAAAAGACTTGTACTAGTGAGGTGCTGGTAGAGGCTTTTATTCTGGTGAGAAGACATGGATTCTCTCTTCCCTCAGGTAACTGCGCCCTGTACCAGCGGGGAGGCTGGTGGTACCATGCCTGTGCCCACTCCAACCTCAATGGTGTGTGGCACCGTGGTGGCCACTACCGTAGCCGTTACCAGGACGGCGTTTACTGGGCCGAGTTTCGTGGTGGGGCTTACTCTCTCAAGAAGGCTGCCATGCTGATCAGGCCCCTGAGGCTGTGACCATCTGTTCATCTGTCCCCCAGGTCACAGGGGATGTGTGTCAGCAGGAGCCCGAGTTGTCCTGGCCACACCTCCTTTGTGACTCAGTGTGGGCCGTGTCCCACAGACCTCTTCTCTTTGTGGATCTGCTCCCCAGGACCCTGAAAACAGCACCCAGGAATCCCCCTGCCAACATCTTGGACCCAGACGGCTCCCCAAGGGCATTTAGATCTCCGTTTGAGCTCATATTTTATAACAACACAAAATATCCACAGACCGTGTCTGGTTTGCATCTGCACCTGGCAGGGGTCACTCCCCGTGCCCGCCCTCGTCCTCCTCCTCTTCCTCCTCCTCCTTCAGGTCCTCCAGAATGAGGTTGTCCAGGTCTTCCAGGAGGCCCCCCTGGCTCAGGCAGGTGGCCACAGTGGAGCCACTGCTGATGTGGAGGTTGCTGGGGTGCAGGACTTTGGGCAGGTGGTTCTGCTTCCGACTCTTGGGGTGTGCGCAGGATGTCCCAGGCACGTGGGGCTCTGGGGAGGGAGAGGTTCTGAGGTCCTGGGGCTTGAGGCCACGGGGAGCTCTGGGGAGGGGAGGGGCTGAGGCCACAGGCTCTGGGGCCAGAGCTATAGGAAATTCAGAGGTGAAAGTCACAGGTGTTGAAGCCACAGGAGACCCAGGGACATGGGCGTCACCTGAGACTACAGAGGACACAACAGGAGCCAAGAACACAGAGACACAGGGGCAGAGTCCACAGGACACTGGGGTGTGGGCCACCAGAGTGAAATCACAGAACTTTATGCAAGGAGAGATGGAAGGTGGATGACGCCATGGGAGGTGGGTGTTAGGAGGGGCAGGGGTCCTGAGTGACCCGGAGGTAAGGAGGCTGGAGGCCCGTGGAAGATGTGGAAGGAGGGGCCGTTGCAGCGGGACGTGAAAAGGCCTCCAGGACTGAGGCCTTAGGAGGTATGTGGAAGAAGCAGGCAGAGACCTTGGTTCTTAAAGGCTCAGAGGTGTATGCCTGGAATGGGGGGGTAGGCCATGGGGATGCGCCAGGCCCTCACCTCGCCGATTGTAGCAGTCCTCAGCCGAGCAGGAGTGGGTGTGGGTGCTGCGGCGATCTGTGTCCCGGTCCCAGCGTGGAGGGAGGATCCGTGTCGGATACACGGGGAAGCCGCACCCGTAGCAGGGGGACCGGGACCCCATCTGTGCCCAGCCCCTGGGGGCGGGCAGGGCTGTGAGGGTCCAAGGGCCAGCTGGGCCAGGGTGGGGCCAGGGCAGGGAGGGGCAGGGCTGGGGTGGGGCAGGGCCGAGGATGGGAGGTGGGGGTGGGGTCAGCGCCCTCACCGGAAGTTGTGCCCTCACCGGAAGTTGTGCCGACATCTCGGGCAGTGGAACTCAGCCACGCCCCACATCTTTTCACTGGGCACCGGCTCGTAGCGCTTCCGGCATTTCCTGCATCTGGACACCTGGGGGTGCGGAGAGAGGGGCAGGCTTGCTGTCAGAGGTGAGCAGTGATAGCCTGATGTTAGCCAGATCGAGATTTACACTATGGAAATTGGCAAACACTGTAAATCTGGGGGTGTCTCCGCCCCACGAGAGCCGGTTATTAGGCATTTACCAGAAGCATACCACTGGTCAGGGGGTTCAGAAGCCAGATTTGGGGTTGTGGTTTGGGGGTCAGGTTTGATTTCTGTGGTAGCTGTCAAACTGTATAGTCAGAGGTCAGGCTCCGGGATAAGAGTTGAGCTTCTCAAGTTGAATGTCAAGTTGAAAAGTCCAGCTCAGTGGGTTGGGGTTAGGGTCTGAGATTGGGGTTGATCTCTGAGGTTGCAGGTCCGGGGTTGGGCTTTCAGAGGCTGATGTTCTTGGGTCAGAGGTTTGGACACTGAGTGGGGCTTTGGAGTGGAGCCGGGACAGAACCAAGGTCAGAGGTTGGGTTATCACCTCCTTCCGCTGGGGCACTCGGCGCCACCAGACATGGTCACAGGAGGAGCAGGCGAACTGCCGGTCCACGGCAGGGATGAGGTCTTCCTGGGCACGTTGGAACATGCGTAGGTTGGCTTCTGTTAGTGGCAGGAGCGAGGTCGCCACCGCCTGCAGAACGGAGAGGGTGGTCAGCTCTCTTCTCCCCTTCCTGCCCCTACAATGTCCCTCCTCCTCACCTATGAACATCCCCATGGATGTCCTCCCTGCTTACCTCCCTGTCCCACATCCTGGACTCACCTGGATGTCCCGGTCCTGCTTCATGTCCTCTGGGGGGTCCTGGGTGGAAACACCAGGGGCAGAAACTGGAGATGTGGTTCATGCCTCTTTTCTGTGGGCGGGGCTTCTGCACAGGGAGGCAGGGTTCTGGCCCCATGTAAGAGTAGAGTGTCCCTAACTCAGGAGGAGTTGATTGAGCAGCATACACTTCCTGAGGGCAGGATGTGTGACCTCAGTTGTCCTTATAGCAACCCTGGGAGGTGGGCACACCTGTCATCCCCATTGCTCAGACAGGGAAACTGAGGCCCAGAGCCAGGAGAGGGCTTGCCTGAGATTACCCTGAGTGAGCATGGCGGAACAGGCTTGACCCCATGCTCCCTTCCTGCCAATGAATGCCACACACCTGCTGGCATTGTGACAGGTCACCTCTTTGAGGCCATGCTGCTTTAGGTTGAGTGCTTGAGCTCTGGATTCAGATAGATGCAGGTTGAAACCCTGGCTTCATCAATTCCAGCTGTGGGGGTGTGGCCAAGCCACTCCTCCTAATGAGGGACATCTAAGAGCCCAGGTTCTGACTCTTGGTGGCCGGGGTTCAAATCCCAGCTGCCACCTGCATTCAGCATGAACCTGGTGAGTGACTTCATCACCCTGTGTCTCAATTTTCTCATCTGTAAAATGAACGTGATAAGTAATAGGACCTGTCTCACAAGACCTGTGGCAATGAAATAAGTCAACAGGTAAAATTCCTGGAGTCCTGCCGCAGGAGAAGTGCTCAATCAATGATACTCTTTGCTATTTTTATCATACTCATTATATGTATAACTGTAAATATATAAATGTTAAGGGTATAATACATACTTTATTATACTCTTTAACAACTCTGTGCTGGGTCTTTCAGGCAAGCCAACCGGTACACCAGCCACCAAAGCCATCTAAGGGGCAAAGTGGCCATGCAAATCCTTTCATTCATTCATTCATTCATTCATTCATTCACATGGGCTCCCCTGCCCCTCTCTCCTCTCTGATCTCCTGCTCATCCCAGCCTGTCTGTATGTTCCTTTTGTCATGCCACCCCTCTTCCAGGAAGACCCTCTCCAACCCCTCCCCTTCCCAGAGATCACTCCTCCTTAGTCTTGAAGAACTTGGTACCACCTCCTCCAGGAAGCTTTCCCTGATCTCTTTGGCTCCTCTATAATGACAATCCTGATTCGTTTCACTGCTTAGTTTCTTGTCTCTTCCATTTAATACAGTCAGCATGTAATGAGCATCTACTGTTTGCAGGCTCCCTGGCCAGATACACGACTGAGAGGTGCATAAGTGAATGAGGCTAGACCATGAGTTGTGGACTGACAAGGCACAGAGGGGGCTGGCCATGGATGAGCCTGACCCTTCTGTTCTCCCTCCCCTTACCACATCCTTTGAGGGGAGGGCGCAGTTTACCTGGGCATCCAGGTCATTACTCAGTTCCTGGCCATCTTTCTGCTTTACCCCTGGTGGGGAGAGTAAGTGTAAGTGAAAGGCCTTTGAAAGATCTTGTGGGAGTTTCAGGGCCCGAACCCGATACAGACCACCCCCCAAAGAGATGATCTCATCGCCTCTTCCTACCCTCAGCAGAGACCACATCCTCTCCCTGCTCCCCAGCGGAACCCCCTGCAGGCAGGACCCCCGCCTGCTCACCGTACACGATGGAGCGCCCCACTCCGGTATGGTCGCTACCAAACTTCCTCATCAGAGTCCCCGCCTTCTTGGAGGATACCTTCCCATGAAACTTCTCCCGGAGGCGCCGGACGCTC